CTTGAAAACACAGCATAGACATACCTAATTCTTCATACTCATGAATAAGTCCCATTACACTGCTTCTGCAAAATCTAGCATTCTCCCCTTCCCAGTTATCTGCTGGTGTGCAATTAGAAGTGAAGTAGGCAGACAGATGTTGAGCAAGCACTGAGACATCTCCATGCATCATCAGCCAGCAGATACTGAACTTGGCTGACTACCCCAGCTTAGTCAGAGACTTTGGCAAACTGTCTCTCAGCTCTGGGTTTTTCACTCAGGATCTTAAACTGTACTGAGTTCACTCTGTAAATCATGTAAAAGAGGGGGATGGGAAAGGCTTTGCTTTTTGCCATCAAGCAAAGTTATAAGAATTTCAGACCTTTTACAAGATGTGTTGTTGCTCTGTTCAAGTGTCACCTTTCATCTCTAGATAGCATCGCTGCCTATTCAAAAGAGAAAAGGGCATTTGGCTAGCTATTAAATTGAATTCCTTTCCTCCATCCTCCATTGTGCTTAGTCTTGCATACAAAGCATAAAAAGCAAAACCAAAGGTCTAATAGATGGGACCATAAGGAGCTTCACATGCCATGTCTGAGTAAAACATCAAAGACTTTTGGGAGCTCAGAAACATGTCACCATACGTGGTATTTCTCTTGTCAGCAGCAAAGCTTTCTCTAATGCACAGCACACTTAGCAAATCAAGAATGCTTCAGGCCAAATTTGGGTAAAAGCAAAAGCTTTGTCTCCCACAGGTTTTATCTGCAGCTGCTGAAGCAAACATTTCTACCTCCCCTCCCTCACTGAAGGAGATTGTGTTTCAGAGCATTGTTTTCTGTAGACACTTATTAACCCTGTTGAATTTAGAGCAGGGGATTGCACTCAATATCTATTGATTAGCAATGCTGCAGTAATCCTTAGGCCTTGGTCATTTTGGTCTGCTGACTAGGACTTGGTACACAACAGTGCCCTTTTCAGCAGACATTGATATGCATGTAAGGATGTGGGAGAGGCAGGAGGGAAGGTTAGTGTGAAGTCAAGTGTTTATACATTACAGGAAATTCCTGGTGAGGTGATGGCAGCTTTTATCATAGCCTGACAGAGTCCAGGGTTTAAGTCATACAAGTGTGCATCAAGTCAAAAACCTTCTCAAAACTATGTTGGAAAACAGAATCCATTATTCAGTGATTGCAAACAATAATAAACTTTGCCTGGGTAGAAAAAAAATTAAAAAAATTCTTCCAAGCTGATCTCCTCCAATTAACAGTAACATGATAGAGTTTCCTGGATAATTTGTTTTCTCTCTTTCCTCATCCTTTCTGCTCAGAACTGAATGTGTTTTGACATAACACCTATTTCCAGTAGGGAACTGCCTTCTCCAAAGCATGTCTCTTGCACTGTAGCCAAGCTACAAAGACACCTGTTTATTCAAAGTAGAGCTTTACTTTTTTTTTGCATCTGTTCATTTTGTTTTTCTGCTAGCTTTCATTCAGCTTTGACTTCAGTCTCTGATTTACAAGCAGGGTTGGTGTACCTTGGGAAGAATCTGGAGGATCCTTTCTGCAGCTGCCCACCACCTTTCCCCTCCAACTCAAGACACCTGCATACCAGACACCGAGTTAGCAATCCACAAAATAAAAAAAACCACTGCAATATCTTTTTTTTAAATTTAATATTCCAGTCTGAAAACAATGGCAATTCAGAACTGCTGATTCAGGAGCTGTCTTTTCTGGTATGTGAGCATTGACCTCTAGGAGAGGTGTAGGGTAAACAGCTGAGGACAGGATTAACTTTAGCTCACTCCAAGCAAGTTTTGAGCCCTCATGAATGAGGGCCCTCTGAAAATCAAAGATATCAAAGTGTATAAAAATACACATTTTCATCCTTGCATTTTTAAGAAAAATGAACTTAAAGAACTTTCTCCTTGAATAGCTTGTGTACTAGTAATATGCAATTGTGTCTGTTTATTTTTCCTTGAATTTCATAAGATCAGTCCAATGGATGGCTGCAATTAAATGCCAGAGAAAATTAATAAGGTCTTTGATTATGCAATTGATTTCCTGGTGATAGGATGTGACTGGAACCATCCATCTGCCAGGGCATCATAATTTTTTTTCATATTGAATTAGAGTAGTGCTATAATTCTGGAACAAGAGTCATTTGACCTTCATGTTTTTGTCATCCATTCCTCACTCTATCTTTTTCCTGTGTCTGAACAGAGCTTACTACAAACACTACCTGGAAAGGAAACAGTCTATGGAAAAAAGGCATCTGAACATCATCTAGCTATGGAGCTCCTTCCCATGGACTACACAGTAACCAGGCTTTCCACCTGCTCAGTTGCTAGCCCAAGGTACTGGCATGTCCCCAGCTGGCCTTTGTACCAATGATCACAGTCCTCTGGGCTCTGCTCAGTCAGTTTTCAACCCACCTTGCTGTCCACCCACCCAAAACCATACCTCATCAGCTTTTCTGTAAGGATGCTACGGAGACAGTGTCAGAAATCTTGCAAAAGGGAAGGTAAATGGCACCCACTGCTCTCCCACCCTCCAGCAAGCTGTCCATCACCTCATGGCACAAGGTTATCAGGCTCATTCAGCTTGTAAAGCAGGCAGAACACACCTTCACATGAGTAATAGCAAGAGAATATGCTAACAGACAGAGTGAATTACAAACACTGCAAATACCTGCAAATAGCTTATATGTGCACATATACTCCATGTGCATTTTTGCTGCAGCTAAATGTAATTATATTCATTGTACTCTGGGAGTCATAGTCTGGTATGTTTAGTGTATGATCCAAGAATAATGTTTGCTTTCTGTGAGGTAGTTTATGTCTTACTGGAGCCCTCATTGACAGCTCATGGGCTTAGAGTCTCCATAGAATGAATACATAGGGAAAAAAGCAATCAGAGTATAAGAAAAAAAAAAAGAAACAAGGACGTAAGAACAGAATAAATTTACTATTACATAACACAATGGCTCATCTTGTATAATATTCATTCAACAGCAGTAAAACAAGGAATTTAAGGACAGCACATGAGCCTGACCATACTTTGTTTTCTGTTCCTGTCATACTTCTCCAGCATCTCAAAATGCTGTATTAGGGCATGCAACCCTTCTTAGTTCTTTCAGCATCCATGTCAGAACCTGCCATCCATAAATCTGTCTAAATCATTCTTGGCCCTGCCGTTACTATCTGCCTTACAACCTCCTGTAGAAACAAATTCCAAAACTTTTCTACCCACTGTATAAAGATGTACTCTCTTTTATCTTTTTTTAAATACAAATAATAAAGTTTTTTAAACTCCTTTTTAGTTTTATTGAGTGTTCCCTGACTCCTGCAGTGAGAACTGAAGCAACAATTCAGATTGTCCTTCGCTTTTGTGATTCTGTAAACTTTTTCCATATACCCATGCAGATTTCTTTCACTTCCCCTTCTCAAGACAGCTGTTTGATTCCTTTGAAAATTTCAGATGCCTTTCCCTATGTCTTTTTTGAACTCCACTATATTCCTTTTGAGATGCAGTGGTCAGAGATGCAAATTAATGTTTTTTTGTAGTGTCAAGGGGGTGTCTTCTATTTTGTGTTCTGAATACTTGACCTGACAATGTCCAGCATCATGATTACCTTTTTTTGTCTGCTACTGCACATTGAGCTGCTGATTTCAGAGAAATATCTAAGAGTGACTCTAAGATTTTTTTTGCAGAGTTGAAATTGCCAGGTCTGAGTTCTGAGAAGACAGACTAATGAGCCAGGCATGATTTATAGGAAAGCTCTTCTTTAGAAGCAAAACTGAGCAAATCAAGACAAATCTGTACTATCCTGACACTCAAAGCCCACTTCATTCCTCATCTCTACGTGCAGCCCTGTAACTCTCCCACCTTCTCCTGCTCGTTCTGCTTAGTCAGAACGGGGGCCTAAGCCATGCACCAGTGCTCCTTCTGACACCCACTTTCCCCATTTCCTTAGTCCTCTTATCCATTTGCCATACATTCCACTTCCCTCTAACAAGCCCTGAAACCAGGGCATATATCAGATGAATCCTCCATACCAACCCCAGACTCCCAGAAAATGCTTCCTCACCCACTTTCCTTCTAACAAGACTCCAGCTTTTTAGTTCACCATTTGTTACAACCTTGGGCTGTACATTTCCTATATTTTCCCTAGATCTTGGAGCCTTCCCAGAGTATACAACTCAGTGGTTGATGAACACTACAGTGGATGTTAAGGAGCATGCAGCAAAACCTCATAAGAGCTGCTTGTTGTTGCCTTCCAGATCAGAAGACAGAACAAACCAGCTATTCCATGACAATTCTCTGTCCTGTCCCACACTTTGCCTTCTATGCAAGATCATTGAAAATTGCTTTTTCTTTTTCCATGAGAGAGGTGAGTTGCTTCCAATATGTTCCAGCTATGCAAGCCATTGATCCCTGTGCCTGTTTGCACCTGTCTCTATAGAGAATATACTCAGAAATGGGTAGAAGTCATATACACACCTCAGGTGTCTGACCAGACTATTTTTTGTCTATTTTGTTCTTATAAAGACTGTAACTGAGTCACAGAGATTAAGTAAAATAATACCTTGTCCTTATAAAACACTCTGGGATTAGGGGAGCCATCCTGAAAGAGCAGAGGGTTGTGCTTCCCCTGGGGACTATTCAGCATGCACAATAGGAAACATTTTCTGGGCTGAAATGAACAAGAAAGGGAACTGGTAGTAATCAAGATGCCAATAGCACTGCTAGGATTAGGAAGATGATGTGGTGAAAGAAGGTTCTGCAACACTTCCCATCTAAATAGGTAGTGAGAGAGAGTTGCTGAATCAAACAGGGAAAAGTGCTATAACAAATAGAGTTTTACATGTTTGGACTTGCAACCAGATGTCTGAGACTTTGTGGTGATTCTTCTGAAGATGACTGCTTTTTCTAATACATTTCCCATCATTTCAGTGAAAGCAGCTGATGCAATGAATTAGATTCAGACCTTTATTTCTCAGAATAGATCAAGTAGATCTGCCTTTTACAAAGACATTCTCTTTGGTTCTCCTTCTAAGTAGCATTGCCCTCTTTTGAGGTTGGTTGCTTTGCCCCTGCTTTGTCACAAGCTTTCATGAGAAGAGAGATACCCTTGATCTCCTACCAGTATCTCTATTTGCTTCTGGAGTAGGGTGACAGAGGATCTGCCCTGTGTGTGTCGCCTGCATGGCAACTCAGCTGCTCAGATGGCCACTTGGTCCACAAACGTGATATCTGCAAGGTATAATACCGAATATCACTGTGGACTTACTTAAAAATAAAAGGATTCATCATTACTCAAGACTGGCATTTGCTTCTTTATTGTGAGATAATAAATGCAATGGATCATGCCTGATCTCTCCTTGAGAAAATCAGAGCAGTTTTGGGCATTTTTGTCAGTTCCATTTGTTGTGTTTGCTAACTATTTTCTATGCATTCACCTCTCAGTAATCATAGGTAATTATCAGCAGGTAAGGAAGCAATAGAACTCACGGGAAATGATTGAAATTAAGTATATGGAAGAAATGAGAAATCAGAATCAAAATTCCATATATACATTTTTAAAGTAATAAGTAATTTTCCTCTTTCAGAATATGTCATGCTTGAATAGCTATATTCAAGGTGAAAATCAAAAAGCTAAGTGAGAGGCATTTTTCCACACTTCATACCTGCAGGATTCCTCTGCTTTTTATCACTGACTACTTCAAGGGACCACAGGTTTGATTCAGAATATAATTCCTGTGCACAGATAAGCTGAAAGTTAGAAGCCAGATCTTGACATGCAGTCAACTCCTACACTTGCAGAAGCAATGTTTATTTTAACACTTATAATTCTAGTGACAAAATATTTCCAGCTTACTGATGTATCTCAACACCATAGGAAAAGTTCACTTCTGAAGAACAGAAGGATGGAAACCTAGGCTTCAACTGGGCCAGTGTCCCAAACTCAATTTTCAGAATTTTCTTCTCATCTTTGTCTCCATCCACTGGCACATCCAGAGTCTGTAAACATTTTATTGATTCCTTACTCAGATATATGATTTTCAGCTCTTTGTACTATTCCCTACAAAATGAATGAATACCAATGCTCTCAGTTTATACACCCCTAAGACTGCACCTGCTTCATGCTGCACAGTAAGTACCACTGTGTGGAAAATCACTGCCTGACAACCAAACAGCCTGTGGGCTTTAGAATGACTGTTATAGAAAAACCTTGCAAAAGTGAATTATTTTCATTCAACTGAAAAAAATTAATTTTGTTTCACAGTAATAACACATTCAGGAGCTGCAAAGAAATCCGTGTCTGAGCAAGTTTAAACTGCTCCCTATCAGTGGAAGTAGAAGAAGGACAGCTGAACAAAATAACTCAATAATCATTTCTACCCACAAAAAATATATCATGCAGCTTGTATTTAAAAAGTAAGCCAAACTCTCACTGCTCAGGGATTTTCCTGCTGTCTCTGTTTCTCCAGATGTGAGGTTTTCTGGGCTTGGATTTGCTTTTTCAGATTTTTTTCAGCTGTTTTATTTGGTTTCTCTTTTCTTTGTACAGAATGCAATAATGAGGAGGAGACTTCATGTCTTTATACCGGTGCAAATGTAGGAAAGGAGACCTTGAAAAATGTTGGTCCTTCCTAGTGATTTATATCAAAGAGCAGTTTGCCTTTTTGTGAGTCCCAGCTAAGGGTAGTGCTGGGAAGAAGGAAAGACAGAGCTGGGACAGAAGATGGATGGTCAGTAGGCTTCTGCCTCCTTGGGCTACTGGAGACTCAGGCAAGCAATTACTGGTTTAGGAACATCCATTCTCTTCTCCCTTTTCAGCCTGACCCAAAACCTCACACAGCCCATGCCACACCACAGCCATAGTAACTGGCAGATTTTTAGGCATCTGGTCGAAGTGAAGAGTGCTTCATACCCTTCTGCTTTTGGATGGAGTGTACAGCAAGGTTGTCCTCTCCTGGGGCCAAAGTAGGGTTGCAACAGGCAGTTTGTTATCCAGGAGAAATTTCCCATTGGTGATAACTACACCTCTAAGACACAGAAAATTTATGTTCATACATAGGTACCTTAAATTTTAATTTATATGCTTTTGTTTTTCTATGCTTTACATGTCCTTAATTATTATGCCAACTTTGTGTTCATGAAAGTAAGAATTGTGCATACAGCTACTAGTATTCATTAAGGGAACAGATGGCTTAGAGTATATATTAGCACTACTGGTGTAAATCCAGCCAACTGAATATAGATTGAAAGCTATTTACATCCAATACATTTTTAATGATTCCTGTATCAGTTTGATAATGATATCAGTTAATGAGCTGACTGAATACAGATCTAGTTCCTACCTCATAAATTTTTTACCCTCCTGTACACTAATTGGCAAAGTTAACAGGTTGTCCTAAGAACCCTAACTGAATCCTGATTTTGTTGAGGTTAAAGCACTAGAAAAATCATGATTTTTATCAGGAGACTGAACAAAATACCACAAGCCAGTAGGTGTGAGAATTTTTTTTTAATTTTTGCAAAGCTTTGGATAACGTCTGTCACAGAATCCTTCTGGAGAAAATCCAGCTAGACGTACTGCACAGGATGGTGGGTGGACACTGGCTGGAAGGATGGACTAACAGCATTGCTGTATTGGGACATCATTCTGACAGCCAGTCACTACTGGTGTTCCCCAGGGAACAGTTTTAGGGCCAGTTCTTTACAACATTTTATCAATGACCTGGATAAAGGAGTTGTGTGCACACTATGCAAATTTGCTAACAACTCTAAATTAGGAAGGGCTGTTGATTCCCACAAGGAGAAGGAAGCCTTATAGAGATACCTTGATAGGTAACAAGGACAACCATTGACTATGTGAAATTTAACAAGAATTTAACACCCAAATTCTTCACTGACAATGTAATTTTGGTTCCTAAACAGGCAACCACACATAAGAAATTTGAAAACTTCATCCTCTTAACGACCAAGATAAAAATTTGGAAAGAACCAAAGGGAAGAAAGGATTCTAATTACTCCTTAAGTATATTTCATTATTCCAAAGTATATTTTTCAATTCCATAAAAATAAAACAAAAAAAAAGGAGAGAGAGAGAGAGAAAACTATGTCTCAAATCACATGGGTGAGGTGATGTATGGAAGCACTGGTCATGGCTTATGGAAGTTCCTTTGACAAGACTCTGAACTGAAAACAGAGGGCAGCAAAAACAGCACAGGGATGTCCCTGCTTCTGGATTCTTAAACAACTGGAATTCCAGGAACTCCTGTTTGAGTTTACCTTTAAATATATTACATATATGAATACTTTCATTAGTGCCCACACTTTTTTTCCTCATTGACACTTCCACCACACTATTCAGAAGCTGTTGATAAGGCTTATTTCTAGTAAATAACCATAAAGAAAGAACTGTATTTTTGCTTCTCAATTCAACTGTGGGAAAGAAAACTTTTAAAAATATATACTAATGCTTCTATTCATTTGCAAAGATGGTATTGGTATGAATTTAGCCTTCCGGTGCACTCATCTTTACAAGGGAATATTTTTACTTCATGATGAAGATCTTGCCACATTTTATAATATCACATTATATAATCTGATACATAATATCACATATAACAAGTGATATTTTTAATATCACCTTATACATAGTCACATCGAAATCTATACAGTTCAACAATACTGTGGTTTCTGAATCCTGTAATATCTATTTCCTCTCTAATAATGAACTATTTGACTCATTTAATTTCATGAATATTTAGCTTTCTTGAATGTCCTTTTTTGCCTCTATATTTTCATTATAATTACACATTTATCTTCCTATTGTTACACTCATCTCTCATCCTGCTTGTGCAGTACACATTTTTCTTTGTCCTATCCATACAATTTCACTAGACTTGTGTCTCTGTAAAAAGTATATCTTTGCATATATATACATAAAATATTAACTATTTGGAATAAACAAATATAGGATTTTTCCTCTTTTCCCAGAATACTCAATTGAGGTAGTGCTGTTCCTCAATTTAATAATATTTTTATCAATCAACTAAACTTCTAAATTTTTAAACATAACTCCTTCAGTTTCATTGTTCCTTTAGATGTCTTTTGTATGTCTACTAAAAATCTAATTTCTTGGCTTTAATATAATTTTAGGTTCTGGTAAAAATTTTGAGAAATATAAAATCATGATCACCTTGCCATTATTTCTGATGAATACTCTGAAAAATAAAAGAATGGCAATCATTTTAGTGTTTTTATATCAGCACAATATAAAATATTGAATTAAATAAGTACCTTTTCCAATTTCAATATGTATTTTTAAACACACCAGCCACACATTCTATATTAATTTATTATTTTCTTTTCATCTTCACCAGGCAGCATGCCTTCTTATTGATAAAATTGATCAGTACCTATATTATTTGTTCTGAATTTTAGTACTGATACTTTTATAAAATAAAAAAGTGTTAACCAGGGTGACATTGTGCAACAATTAAGCAAAATGCCTTGTTTTTATATAACTGCCCTTTACAAACTTTAATTTTGGAATGCAAAGCCTATCCCTTTAATTATGTCTATTATCGGGGGATACAAAAGTGTATATTAAATTAATGAAATGGATTACCTTGGTTACACAGCGGTTATTAACAGGAAGAGCTCCCAGTTTTCATATTAAGTACATCAGTAACTTTAATTGCATTAGGCTGAGCTAGGAGAGCTATTTTAGGAGCTCTAAAGCTCTCTTATTTTCAACAGCACAACAATTTCTGCTGGCTTTTTGCCTGCTGTAGCTCAATTTCTGAGGGTTCCCTCACAAATGCTAACTTATTACTTCTGTCAGTCATGCTTTAGCAAACACAGCCTCATTAAAACTACCCTAAAGTGGCTTCAGTTTTGAAAACTCTCCCTTGATGTATCCACGAGACAACTGGTGCTGGAGGGCTTTTTCTCACTTTTGGGTTAAGAGATAAGTGTCGCAGAGTATGAATGTACAAAAGCCCAGTTTTAGGGCCAACAGCAGTAAAAATGATGGACTGTGATTAGCTCAGGCTTTGTAGGACAGGATACAAAACTGCCTACGATATTAAAAGTATGAAACAAATTAGCTTTTAAATTATGGTTTGCAAGCACTGATACACAAGTGTAAAATCAATTAGCTGTCAGCTGTTGGTTAATAGTGACGCAGTGACCTGCCTTGCTCCTGCTGGGAGTTGTGAGCCGAGGTTTCTAACAGGGAAGGCACAGCGGTTTTTTTGCTAATAATGTATAACATGCTGAAATCACTTTATCAGAAGCTCCTGAAAATAGAAGGTAATGTTCCTGAAAGAAGTGAGTATTAGTGAGATCCCACACTGTAATGCACAAGTTTCTGATTTTGTGCTAAGGTAAGGGGGGCTGATGGAAAGGATTTCCCAGGGCTTGTTTTAAAGGATGAGGCTGATTTATCCATCATGGGACTTCAGGGAAGACACTCATCTCTAGCTAAATCTGTCTGTGTGCATGGCTAGTGTCACCCCAGTGACCCCAGTGATCTGCTGCATTACAACAATGGATCCCTGTAAATTTATGACCATTTCCCTCAGATGTGAGTTAGGTAAAGCTCTCCACAGGTCAAGGTGTGGAGGAAGAACCATATAATGAAGGAAGTCTGTGGGGACTGAACATGAGTTGTTACATTTTCTTATTCCAAAGAACCTGAGACCATTCTAGGAAACATGCAAGGATTTAAAATACATGGAGAGAAAGCAGCCTCAACCTAAATCTTGTAGCAAACCAGGGGTGTTTTCATACCGTTCTCAGCAAGCAGAGACCCCTCTAAGTGCTAAGACAAGTCTGTTGTCTCCACAAAATTTTCGCTTTTGCCCAATGCAAATGTGTGAGCTCCAAACCCAGGCACAGATTATACATTTTACCTTTCGCCACTGACTTAAACACCTGTCAGAAAGGAGTAAAATGGGATATAGCTTTAGACATGGAAGTTACTCTGGATAAACTCCTGAAATTGCACCCCAAATCACATAGGATGTAAGAACTGAATTGCCTATCTGCAGTTTGTTTTTATTTGGCTAGGTGGTTATATAGCCTTATTGTCATAGCATCTCAGTAAGTCAGAAGATTTAGTTTTGCCTCAGAACCTTGGTGTTTAAATCATGTACAAATGGGGAACTTGAACTCAGTTCCACAAAACACTGAAGATATCTGCTGTGAGAAATGGGGAAGATTTAAGTGCTGAAGTTGGGAACTGCAAAAATATTAACTCATCTGTAACTTTCAGCTTAATCTCTTTTTTTTTTATTTTTTTTTTTCTTTAACTAAAAGGCAAGAGTCCTGTTACAGACTAGATAAATGGCCTTCTGGGAATAGTGAAAGTATAAAATATATATGTGAGTGTATATGTATAAATATATACACACATATATATGTGTATGTGAGGAAGTTATCCACATTCATTTATGGATAATTATGTTAAATATAGAAATACACTGTGATTTCTTTAATAATGTAGAATGAAAAAAAAAACCCAAAAGAAAACAGAAACCCCATATCTACCTGCCACTGTAACCCTTCCTTCCTGCACACGTATCTGTAGAGCCTTTGTTACGGATGTAGCTCAGGGATCTGTGTGCAGGGGACAAGTACTGATCCATTTAGGAGGATGTCAGGATGGTGTAATTTAAACAGTGGTATCAGAGAAGGCAGGTCTGGCATTGCTGAGTCTGCATGGATGATGGATGGTGCTTGGCATGCATGGCTGGTCTGCAAAAGAGGAAGGACTAAACCAAGGGAGAAGGAGGAGTGAACAAAGAGGCTGTGCTAAGGCACTGCCCCGAGGGGAAGGAATGGTGGGAGACCTCTGCTTAGGGTTGAGGGAAAAAAGATAAATAAACACAGGTACACAGACAAAAAAAAAAAAAAAAAAAAAAAAAAAAAAAAAAATGTGAAAAGACTAAATGGGGGAAAAGGAGAAAGATGAGTAGGCTGAGTGAGGCCAGCAAAGTTGAACACTTTGGGTGACAAAACTTAGTGGAATCTGCCTAGAATATGAGAATCTCAGGAAGTACCAATGTGATGGGTTGACCCTGATTGGATTCTGAGTGCCTACCAAAGCTGATTTCTCCCTCCATTTCTCAGCTGGACAGTTGGCATGGGCTCTGCTGGACATGGAGGAAGCTTCTGGAAGCTCCTTACAGAAGTCACTCCTGTAGCTCCCCCCACTACCAAACCATGCAAACCCAATATGTACCACACCTTACATCTGTGAATCAATTTTTTAAGAATTAGCAATAAAATCCACATTCATCACTCATTTGCAAGCTTCACTCACATCAACAAAAAAAATTCCCCACACCAAAATCACATGAACATATAATGAAGCAAAAGTGGACAATTTACTTCACCACAATTTCAACAACAGAAATTCTCCATGATTATTCCACTTTTCACTCTCTAGATGTGTTTAGTCCATGTTCTGCCTATTACCTCTCCCTATTACTATTGTTATCTCAAATTCCTCATGTCCCAGATTGGGCAACAAAAAGGACAGTGGTGAGTTGACCTTGGCTAGGTATCAGATGCCCCCAAAGTTGGTCTATCACTGCCTTTTTCTGCAGGGCAGTGGGGAAGAAAATAAGATGAAAAAAACCTTGTGGACCAAGAAAAAAGCAGTTTAATAAAGCAAAAGCAAAGGACATGCATGGAAGCAAAGAAAAAGCAAAAATTCATTCTCCTCTTCCCATCAACAGGAGATGTCCATCTGCTTCCCAGGCTTCAATACATGTAGCGGCTGCTTCAAAGGCTAGCAGAAGCACAGGAAAACAAATGCCCCCTTCTCCTCTCCTCTTTTCTCTTAGTTTTAGTGGCTGAGCAGACATATGGCATGGAAAATCCCTGTAGTCAGTGTGAGTTAGCTGTCCTGGCTATGTCCCCTCCCAAGGTCTTGCCCACCCCAGGTTCCAGTGGGAGGAGTGTTGGAGAGGCAGCACCGATGGTTACAGCGCTGCTCAGCAGACACCAAAGCCCATCAGAACCTTTCCAGCACCAGTGCAAAGCACAGCACTGCCATGGGAAAACTACCTCCATCTTGTTAGACTCACTACAACAACAGGGTATCTAGGATTCAAGAAAATTGTGGACAAAAAATTGCTTCCCAGTATAATCTTTGCATTGAGAACTTTTGTTATCAATGCTTGTCACCACTGACAAACCAAGGACAACTAGGCTTCTTGACTTGTTTTTTTTTAATTCCCTAAAGGAGCTTAGAGATAATCTTCTTGAAACAAGAAGAGTCTTTCCATGACTGTATTTTTGGATCCTCAAACTTCAGTTTTTCTTTCGTGTTTTCCTGTCCGTCTCACCAGTAATTTCAAGTGACATTTAAAATAAATTAGAAGATGACTGCTGAACAATGCTTACAGGTATTTGAGGTGTTGCCATTGTCAGAAATGACAGCATGCAGACACATCAGGATTGTTCAGAAAGGCAGTTCTTCAATGTAAAAAATTATGTCTGTTTTTAAGATGCCAATTTTGGCAACATTAAAGCAACATTTTCACCTTTTCTTACAACCTTTGGCAGAGGTCATATGAGGCCTTTGAGTTTCATCACAACTTTTTATAATGCTTGTTGTTGAATTTTTAAACTAAAGACAATCCACATACAATCATTTCTGTTCAGTGGTTGAACCTATTTACTGATAGAAAGCCACACTTACATTAGAGCCAGTGACTGAACTATCACTGGCTTCAGTAGGACCAGGACTGTTCCCCAGTCTGCTCCATCCTTTGGAGCTGAAGACAGGTACCACACAGCCAGAAAGACTTCTAAAAACCTGGGAAGCCTCATGAATCCTGCCTATTATGAAAATTCCTTGGGTCAGGGTGATACCTGAACTGAAAGTAAATATCTTTGCACCATTTAGTAGGGCCAAAGCTGTGCCAAGGTGCATGTTAACAATTAAATGGCGTGGAAGATCCCAAGCCACTGCCTGGACCTTCAAGTGGAGCCTTGCTTCTTGCTGGAGAAATAGCCCAAGTGTTATTGTCTCTCATTTGACAGTATCCTTGCACAGAATTTGAATTTCTGTGGCAAGAACACAAAATCAAACACAGAATTTAGACTACATCCAGCACATGAGGAAAATGGCACACTAGGGGGAAAAAAATTGTTTTGTTTGAGCCAATGTCCTGTCATGCCTGTCAGCAATATCCATTCAGGTGGTAGGTAGGAGACCTGTAGCATTTATTTGAAAGGATAAGCCATTTTCTTACTACATTTCCTTTTCACATTTTACAGTGTCTAAGGTTATAGCTGAACTACAGCTAAACATATAATTGCTTCTACTCTTGTTTGCAAGCTCCACTATACTTTGTAATGTATTTTGGGATCCTTGGAGGATGAAAATTTCTGTATAAAAGTTCCATATGTAAAACTCAGTTTATTTTAATATAGCCAAATCCTGGAAAGAGTCACAGATAAGTATCTTCTACATCTAATGCTGTCACAGACTAATTTTTCTCTCCCTCTTCATTTGAGTAGATAGATGCTAACACAGCTTTACATCACTTAAAGGAAGGAATAATTTTATATGTTAATATAAATATAAGTATAATTATATGTTAAGATCCTGACAATTCTGTGAATTGTGGTGTGTTTGATCCTTTGAAGGTGCAAAATGTCCTCTGGGTTGTATTTTCCTGCAGTAATCACACTGCACCTATCACAAATGAGTCTGGGCTGATACTTCTATTTGTACATTTAAAATCCATGACCTACTGGAGAGTACCATATATATACACCCATAAAGGGGTGTATATCAAGACAATTTCTCCACCCTTGCCTTCCAGAAATATTGTTTATTTGACAGTGTGAGCCCATGACCCTACCTGTTTTTCAGAAGATCAGATACTAGACTGCTGCTGTCAAAAATATTTGTCATTTCTGTAAGCTTGGCCTGCTCCTTACCCTGGCGTCCCATAAAACGGGACAGGTTGATTATTGCATCCATGTGCCTTCACTCTTGGCTCACTCCCATGCACACATCCACACTTAGATGCAGACGTTGCTCTGGCTAATGACTGCTCTGAGCATGACTGTGCAGTCACAGAGGACATTGCAAATTCATTCCCATAAAACAATCAGTGTTTGGCTTCTTAGCTTGACACAGCCAGAGCATTGAGAAGAGATTATTACTGGGGCCTGAACAGGCTAAACTGGGAAATGTCCTTTTGTAAAGAAAAGCATGCCCAGTGATAATCATATTCTCTTCTGATCAGGAAGGGGCTATCACAATAGTGTGGCCCAAGAGTTAAAGAGCTTATTTTTCAAATCCCTTCATCCTTTCCAGAACTGTGAGACAGTGACAGCGAGTCACTTAACTCTGTCCAGCCACAGCTGTGTGGGTTTTGCATAATTAATTATTTATACCAAGGCAGACACAGTAATTAACTTCCAGATGAATATGATATTCTGATCAGAAATGCTTTGCATTTTAGCCGTCCCTCAAGCAAGTAACTGTCAAAGCTGGACTGTTTGACAGAGTGGTTCCTGCCAAAACCCCTCCCAGACATCTGTTCTCAGACAAAAAGAACAGATTCTCAAAGCAGCGCTTGCAGACATTGCCTCGTTTCAGCAGGCAAAGAATAACCAATTCACAAATTCTGGCTAATTTTGTCTGATTTCAAGACAGTATGCCAAACCTTGCAAAAAGCCGGGACCTGTTCTTTCAGTCGTAGGCACCGATGCAAATTGAGTGTTTCCTCATGGAAATCAATGGCCCACACTGATGTCAGGCAGGTGCAGGTTGGGAATGAAGCCCAAGGGATTTAATATGAGGTGGGTTTGAAGAGAGCGGGCAATTTTTAAATTTTTCTTTGTTTTGGTGAACAGAAATGAACAATAACCATCAGCATTACAATAGTACTGAATGGCTTACTGGCTGTTACTGCTGTCTGCAGCATAATAGTAATTCACTGGAGTATGAATTTTATGCTGAGGAAAATTGATGCTGATTTTTTTCCCCCCTATTTCTCCTTTCTAGTAGAAATTTGTATTAATCACTAAAGATTGTGGCTAAACATTCAAAAACAAAGACAGGAATTGACACCCTGAATGCACACACCACAGATAGACCTGACTGCAAATTGCATTTTTCTGTTGTGATTTCTGTTGTACTACCCATACAATCACAGTGCTTTAATGCTGCAAGAAAGAGGTTACACCATAGCAGAGACAAACCCATCCAAATGGATGTACTTGCTTTATAATGCACAGTTCACTGACCATATAGGAACCAGGAGCACGGCTGCTGGTTTGGGATTTGTCATTTGACACCCCAGGGTCTTGAGAGGCCAAACCATTCTTCAAGAACATCTTAACCTCTGAGGTAGGAGGGAGGCTACAACAGCTGGGGAAGGACAAATAGTGGTCAGCCAGACTCCAAACACTCCTGAATCCTGTAGTTTAGCCATGGGAATGAGATGATCAACCAAGAACAGACATCCCTACCCCACCACCACTCCAGACATTCTTTGAGATGGTAATGGCATCTATCTGACCTTCAGTGGGATGGGTCAGCTTGCTAAACTGGCTGACACACCTACCCTCATTTTATGTCATTGTTGGGTCAGTTCTGTACTGGCTTGACTCCTAAAACAATGCCATGGATCTGCAGCAGGTACCAAACCAAGGAAACAGGGGTAACAAGGAGAGGAATTTGTCAGACTGGTTTGCTTTACCAAGAAATGAGTATACACACTGTGCTGGTTTATGTTATATATATAATTTATGTTACACACACAACCAGAATTCAGCAGCAATAGACAGAGAGACTACTAGGAGTGCAGAGGAGGCTGTGTGGAGATGATTTCAACCCATAAAGTCCTTGAGAATTGCTTAGTCAAAGAAACTGGGATAAAAGGAGCTATTTTACAGGGTCCAGAAAGCATAAGCAAATTTGTTTACAAGCCATTCTTTAATCTCATTCAAGTGCAAATTTAAATTTTTACCTGTTCCTTAACTGCTACAGTTACATCAATAAAAGCTTTGAAGTGCTCACCTTTAAGACCAGGATACCAAAGCCAGCTAAGTTGTTGTTCACATTGACAGACAATTTCAGCCAGCAAACACACATGTGTTAAACAGTGTTCTTGTTAAAATACACAAAAAGAGAGCCAAAGCGAGCTAAGATGAATAAACCTGTGCATACCTAGAGGGATCTAGAAGTCTTTCTTATTTAGTTCACTACAGGAACCCAAAAGATCCTGGGATACAGATCAAGGAGCTGGAATGAAGGTCTGTGTTACAGCAGCCCAGTGACACATTGTTTTCCCATCCTCTGAGATGCATGGCAGTGGACTTGATGGCACAGAGCTTTATTCAGGATAGCAATTCATATGTTGCTGCTCCCCAGTCCCCCTGCATGCTCAACACACACAATCCTCCTGTGGTCACTGCTACCTGGACATGTCAAACATGGCAGGAAGGAACCACGTGGGAACTCTGCACTATTTAGTAACTGTAAAACTCAAGAATTCTTGCTCTATTCTGTGAGGACATTGTCATCACTGTCTTTAGGAATGCCAAAATATCCATCAAGATGACTAAATAAATTCTTTAATACCACTAGCCTCAATTTCTCATCCCTGGACAACATTATTACAGAGGATCATCTAACAATAACACACTTTACTTTTGAGTGTCAAGCTCACAGGTCTGCAATGATGAAATCTAAACCACTATTTTCAAGCATTTGTATTGTATTGTATTTTCAATATATCCTTAAATTATCTCCAGTGACATGTTTTTTAGAGAAGTTTATTTAGAGCTAATTTTGTATACACTGTGATGTATACACTAATTTAGAGCTAATTTTGTATACACTGTGATGGACATGGAGCACATGCCTAAAGAACACCTTGAGAGCTTTAGTGGAAAATAAGAGAGGTTCTTTTCAGTTTTCATAATCCATATCTTACTTGGAAAGGAAGGATTTGGCCAAGGAAATAATTTTTCTACACTTCAGTTTTTATGAATTCAAATAATCTTATTCTAATGAGAATGGTAAAAGGGAAGACTTCTTTGGAATGACAGCTCTCCCCACAGTAAATACTCTGGGATTATCCCTGGTCCTACAGAACACAACAGAAGGAAAAATCAGCCTGTTACTTTGGAATTGTAAAGAATTTTATACAGTCTGAATGTCAAGGCTGGGTCCTTGTATTCACTGAAAAAATATTAAAAGTCCCAGATTTCCGATACCAAGGTCAATGCATACCTTGGTTGCTTCTATTTTCATTATGGGAGAGTTAAAGAAACTATGTTTTTTAAATGAGACATTTTTCCAAATGTTGTATTGCTACAAGAGAATTCACATATTTAACATCTTGCATGTTTTTGGAAGTGTGATGGTTTTGTATACATATTTTTTACAGAAAAGGAGCAAAGTCATACAAGCCAGGAGAAGAAAATTGCTTATGACTGATTTTTTAAAGTCTCTGGATAGTGATTCAGGGCCAGGAAAGCTGAACCAGTCACAGGGAATGGGCAGAACCATGTTCCACAGTGCCAGTTCCGTACAATATATATATTTATTTATTTTTTAGTAGAGAACATATTTCTATTTCCATCTCTCAGCCCAAATGCCCTCTTATCCAGCTTTCTTTCCAAGGCTTTCTAAGTCAGCAATTTCAGAAACAATACCTTCTGCAAATTATCCTGCACCTAGCTGTACTGCCTGCAGCCAGAGCTGATGGGTCAGTGAAGAGTGTGGGAGAGGAGCAGGCAAGAAGAGTCTTTCACTGCCATTTGCTCGACACCAGTGGAGTGCCAGTGAGCCCCTGAAGTGTGAGGGGACAATCATCCTCCAAGTGACCTGCCTGGGGGACAGAAGGAAGTGCCATTCCCTCTCACGCTCACACCACGATCAGTTCAATGAGAAAAGGATGATAGCAGCAGATCAGTAATCAGCAAAAGCAGAAACTCGTGGTGGTTGTCAGGTAAGTTAAACACATCAAATTCAGTGTTATCTCAAATGTGTCTCTTTTCTGAAAGCACAGGCCCTGAAGGAGCAAGGCTTTGCAAAGGAGCACGGTGCTGACTCCATTTTGTCCGAAGCATCTCTTTTCAGCACAGAGAGACGATGGGTTTTTCTCCCTGCAGAATATGAAAGCACATGAGAGAACAATTAATAGTGAAAACCCAGCAGGGCTGCTGTAAGCAAGTATGCACAGCATGCTCCCCCGTTGCTTCTGGACTGGCAGTAGCCTGTCAAATGCCTGGAAATGAAGCTTTCTTGAGCCTTTATTAAGATTCATAGGAAAAGCAGGCCCCAAACCCAAAGATAGCATCAGCATGAAGTATCTGGGCCTCCTCTCTGCCATAAGCACAGCCAGCACATCTGGCTCAGACTCTAGAGGGGAATGAAGAAACTGGGCGTGTGTATAAAGCGAATCTGTCAGCATTTACTTGCATGACAATCTGCCATGTAGAGTGCGTGCCATGCACAATGCAATGCTCTCCAGAGACCAGACCCTGCTACACCCTGGCTGCAGGCAACTGCACTCACATTTCTCACATCTATGCCAGAGAAGGACTGCAAAAGTACACAGGAGGTTCACAAAGGGCTGTGTTCCCCACACAGGACAGAGGTGGCTTCCTTTTTTTCCCTCTTTATGCTCTTTTGTAGGGTCCATAGCAGCCTTAAATCCCATCTCTTCAGAGGCACTGCTGAAAATCCCAAGCCTCCCAAGCACAGATATTTTAAACTTTGCTCCCTCCCTTCTGTTTATTTGACAACTTGATTAATTATTACTGGTTCAGGTGAGTGTGTGTTCACATGCATCTGTACACTTATATGAGACTTAAGGATACATGTGTACTAACTCATTCAAAGTATTCATACATACACATATTGCTATTTGATAAACTGAACCTCAAAATAATCTCTCTGATTCTCTGTTTCCCTGAAACTTGGCATAGGCTTTTACACAGGACAAACACAGTATAAATCAGTGTATTCCTTTATCATTTCAC